AATTTCATCTGAAATATTTTTTAAAGAAGGGCAGTTTATTTTAAAATATCAGTGTTTACAATACATCAATTGTATGCTTTGATAGGGTAAAAAAAATTTAAGGTTAACATAAAAATGCTTGGGGGAGTTCAGTTTTTCAAAATTCTTTTCCATGGTATGTAACCAAAGGAACAAAGCATGAAAATCACTGGTATAAGCTTAGGTCTTCCCCATGGCACCTGACATGCCCTGGGGAGACTCACCGAGCAACTGAGGGCAGCTAGAGAAAGGGGCACCTCAGCACCCAGCACACACGAAGGAGCTGAAGACAGCTGGGAATGCAAGTGGGGTGAGGACAGCAAGGCCATGGCAGCACTTGGAGAGAGGCGATCTCAAGGGGCAGTGGGGAACTGCTCCTAAATGCCAGGTAAGAGGACGACAAGAAGCGTGGTCGTCTCACCACACAAAAGTTCAACTGCTCAGGACGAAGCACAGCCCCAACGAGGACGGCCACTCAAGGGACGGATGGTTTTCATTCCTTTAATTATTTCAAGGGACTCCTCAGAAACACAGATCCCGCACACTTGCGGTTTTATTTTTCTTCAAATTCTTTGTTAAGCAATGAACTTCTAAAAATCATACTAATTAAATGGAAGAAAATGTGACTTGGCTGCTTTCTCGTATTATTTAAGAATATTAAGCTCTCACATCTTTGAAAATGATGAACCAAAATAAGTACAGAAAAGGAAAGGACACCAGGAACTACAACTCCTCCCCACAAGCAGCGACAGTAGCACGAAAAACCACGGCAGATCTCACAGCCTAACTTCTCTCTGGCCTGCTAAACTTCTCTACCCCCACAAGGAGCTCTTGGTCCCGTCTTTGCTGAATGGCTCCTGCACAAAGTCTGCAATGCCATCCTCTTTGTGTGAAGAAAGAAAGCCATCACTCTGGCTTTGGATAAAATACCTCTACCTTCAGCCTCTGGAGGGGTCTGATGAGCAGGCTACTTATTCAGTTTTGTTGGAGTTCCCAGTCTCCTGCTTGGAACAAGAAAAAAGTCCTATGTCCAGCCTAAACATCTTGGCTATCCAAAGGAAAAGGAATTCCACAATCAAGAAACTCTGATGACACCACACAGGTACCATCTAAATCAGACTAGTGAACAGCTGGGAGGTGGGATGCATGGCTGACAACTTGTTTGTCAGACCATAAAGTGCTGAGGGGGAAAGAGAATGTGGGGTCTGCAGAAACACAGAGCTGCAAAGACCCAGGGGCTGCACGTCTGTGGGCCAAGCAGTGGGAAGTATGCCCTAACACAACTGTCACCATCCTACCCATGGCCTCCTAGCTACATACCTAATCTAAACTACCTTCAAAGTACATCAACCTGAATGAAAGAGGGAGAAGAGATCACCAGACTCAGAACAAAGGACTCTAACACAAAGTCTGCCTTACTGTCTCAGACTACATTTCTTCTAAGTAGAACAAAATTAGGGTAGAAGACCCACAACTGTGCTCTTGTGATGGAAATATAAGTTTATCCAAGTGACGAATTATCACATCAAATCAAGAATGCTTCCTGGTTTTATCGTTTTCCTTCTTTCAACCAGTCAGGCTGGCACAAAGAATACCGAATCTGGTATCACAGGATCCTTTTCTTCTAGGAGCCAGTGCGTGGCAAAAACAAAAAGGTCGTTTTAGATTCCACAGTATGGTTCAGACAATGAAGCAAGATTCACAGGCTGCCACTACAGGGGCTCACCAAAGGTCCACTCAACCCAGCCCAAGGGGTCAAGGAAACCCTCAAGAAGGAAGTGACCGCAGGAGAAACCTGGAGAACAGAAGAAGTCAGCTGTGTGAAAAAGGTGGCCGACCTGAGGAAGAGAGAGATTCAGTATGGCGGAAGCACAGAAGTACACGAGGAAGAGAGGAAGCTGGCTGGGAAGGAAGGCAGAGGCTGGATCACGATGAGCCTCGTATTCCACGCTAAGATGTCTGAAATTTAACTCTAAAGCAACTGGGCAGCCCTTGAGAAAGGTTAAGGAAGCCAGCGGCACAGTCATATCTGATTCGTGGGAAGTCCTGTCAGCTAGCAGAAGCACAGACCTGGGACTAGAGAGGGATGAGGCCAAGGGCAGGGAGCCCAGTCTACAGGCTGCTGCAGTAACACAGTGGGGAATTGTGAGCCTGAACTAAAGCAGCAGCAACTGCAATGGGAAGGAGTGGTCAGGTTCAAGGCTGGGTAAGAGGGAAAAGTGAGTACACCTTGGAATGTCTGGATGTGATGGTATGCTAGTAAATGTTTAACATTCATCTGTTTTTAAAATGCTCTGATTTGCAGCATTTGCCAATTTCCATGGTGTAAATACTCCCACTATGGCTATGTCAAGCTGCCAATATGATGTCACTGAACCTGAAGCTGGGAAGAAATGTTATCTCCAGCACCACTGCCCATCTGTGAGAAGAGGAAAGAGTCTAGGCAAATCCAAAGCCCTCCCTGGCTTAGGGACCTAGGCAGGGTAGGAAATGCAGAAGGTTACCTGGAATTCTTAAGTTCTGTCTGAGACATACTGAGTCAGGGGAACCTATATCCTTCACTGGAAAGATGTGCAGCAAGCAGTTGAACACATGAGCTTTGAGTAGTACAGAGAAAAATATGGTTAGATATGATAGTTGGCATAAATGCCCTGAGGAACTGTGTACAAACCAAAAAGATATGACGGTAAAGGAGGCACCCTGAGAAACACTACACTGGAGCAACAAATAGAAGTTTATAAAGATGTCCGAGAAGGAGCTTTCAGAAGGGCAGGATTTCTCAGGACCAATTTGCCAAAAGCCAATTCACCAAGTAGCCGATTCTCTGATTATCATTTCACCAAAGAATTAATTCATTAAAGTTACCAATCTACCTACTTTTTAAATTGATTTTTTTCTAAATATTTATATAGCAATTGTTCATTAGAGGCATTTATTTTCAGCAAATTGCTTGTTTGAAAATAGAAGGCCAAAGAGTTTTTGAAAAGCATGGAATTCTTGATGACAGCAAGTGCCACATACAAGGGCAATAGCCCAAGAAGGGAAACGTCCTTAGGTCACTCTACTGTGATGCTCCTCAGAATGGCTGGGTAGGAGGAAGATCCCAATGGGAGAGCGAACAGGGAGAGAGGCAGAAATGCCGTGGAAGTTTTCGCCTGGAGAGAGGTACTGGTTGTTTTCCCTTTTTCTATGAGACTCATATATGTTTACATGTTGAGTAGAACGATCTAGCACTCAAAGAGAAACTGAAGCAATAAATGGAGGGGTCAGAGTAACTGATGCCCTGATGTTCCAAAAGAGGAAAGGGGATGATATCTAGGGCAAAAGTAAAGGGGAAGATAGAGTTCCCTAAGCTAAGTCTGGAGCAACCCTGACTTGGGTCAAGTTTCCTTCTGCCAGGATAACCAAGGTATGGGAAATTCACTTAGAGGTTCTAATGCAATTTCATGAGAATCTTGTTATGACATCTTCTGAATGAAGCTGATCTGCACCGAGTTCACAAGAAGCAAGAGGAAAACCTGAAAGTAAGTCAACTTTGTTTCTTGTTTTTATAGCACTATCAGTTAAATGTCTATAAAACTTGGTTTTGACCCTCATTTTTCATGGTTCCAAATATCCATCTTCACTGCCACCTTCCTTCCTTTGTGTTATCTCACCCCTCCTAATGGCTTCCTGCTTCAGGGGAAAAAAATGTTTCCTTTGTGTCTAGCACACTGAAAACTTACTTCAGTTTTGCCACTGCTTTTAATGGCAAAAACCGAAATTACTTTTGCACCAACCTAAATATTTGATGCCTATACTAATTTATTTTAGGAAACGTTAACTTTTCATAAACGCATCAAACTCTTTCAAATCAAGTCAGTGGCTTGCTTAACTAAAGAATCCCAATAATATTAAATCAGCACTATACCTTGCCAAAAATGTTACTTAATTGTTACTGAAGTGCTATCAATTCTCATAAATGAACTTACCATCTTAAACGTGTTTGGAGGTGGAGCAGCTAGGGGAGGGACAGCAGGGGGTAGGAGGGTTGGGGAAGGATGACATTAGGAGAAATACCTAATGTAGAAGATGGGGGAATGAATACAGTAAACCACTATGGCATGTGTGTATCTATGTAACAATCCTGCACAATCTGCACATGTACTCCAGAACTTAAAGTATAATAGTAATTTTTTTTTAAAGACATGTTTAATTGTTTTCTAGTCCATTTAGGATATTCTCTGAATTAAAGCTTAGCAATTGCCCAAAAAGTCAGGGATAGAATCACAGAGGACTCCAGCATCTTATAATAATATTCTAGTTATCATTTAAAAAGTCTCTCCTGCCACTCTTTTCTGTAGGAATCCAATGAAGATGTGTGTTTGCTGTATTGTGTAAGTTTTATCTATCTCTCCTTTGCGGCCAAGGGCCAGGGAAGGGGCTGAAAAAAGAGAAAACCTCTAGGAGAAATCCCACACACACCTGGGGTGAACCACAAAGACGGTGCAATCTATAAGAATAAACTTAGATATGGTTATTATAGAGGTGGCAAAAAAAGAAAACGTCAGCACCTAGTGTATGGGTTCCATTCAGCTTTCAACAAAGCCAGGCAGTGGTGCTTTTATTTAAGGATTATATTTGGCTTTCTTTTACATACTGTCTAAATTAACAAATACTTCTGATCTTATGAGAAGTTATGCAAATATCAATTCTAAAAGGAAAATTTGTGACTCTTAGGGTAGAAACTCCTACCACACAATGTATGTAAAAATAATACAGCTGCCTGACAAAATGAGGATAGATGCTTCAAATAGGAAATTCTAAAAACACAACACTGCAAAAGCCAAAAATCCCAAGAGACCTATCATTAAACGATATATGTGTGGGTCACTAAAGGGACTCTATTTCATCTTCAAAATTAAGTCTACTGGGAAACCAACACTAGGTGAATCACCAACATGAGCCTTTTTTAAAAAAAGAAACATAAATTAAGGACCTACCGTCTGTCTGAGATTTACTGAGGAATATTGTGCTGGCCCGAGGATGATCTGAAGGATTGAATTCCATGTTCAAATCTTTAAAGAAAGAAAAAGAAAGTATATGAATAAACCATCTGATAACTAAGAGGAACCAAGATTGACTCAATTCTTTTTCAGCTTTGAATTGCTAATGCATTCAAGGATTCTGGAAACCTATAGCTATTATGTTAATAGATTCTTCTGGTTCAATTCAGAACACTGCTATTTAGAAATCCGAAAATCATACATAAAAATTAGACAGTTGGCTGGAGATCTATTAGCCTAAAAAAAAAAACTCCACTTTCTTTTGAAAAAGTTCTCCTCTGTACCCAGTACACTACAAAATAACAGGACAGAGTTACGGCATGCCTTTAAAGAGAGTTATGTGCTACAACAGATTCATCAAAACCTTACAGTCAAGTACATGGTAGTTCCTTATTCAAGGTGATTAAAATAGGATTATCTCAACTCCTTAGGGCAAATCAGCATCCACATACTCTGCTTAATTAAGAACCTAAAATGCAATATAATAAATAAATGGGGGGGGGGGAAGAACATTTTCTGAAAAGGCAAAACTTACCCCTTAGAGCAAAAGCTGCAAATCAGCCATTGTGGGCCTAATCTGGGCCACAGACATGTGGCCCTACTTTTTAAGAAACATTTAAGACAACATATAAAAATCAGGAGATTTCAAACACATAACACATACACACACTCCCCTATTTCCAGCTTCCCTTGAGAAATCAGATCTTTTGGCAACACTGAGCCCTACCCAAATGGTCACAACAGGCTGAAGACAAGCAGCTGTGGCCCCTTCACAGTGGCTGTGTCCCTTATGGGACACAAGACTCCAGGCTCCCCAGTGACCACCCTCTCTCTGCTTTTCTGACACTCATTGGCAGGTCCTCACAAGCATTTGATTTTGCAATCTTAGAACAATCTCCAAGGGCTACAACTTGTCAGTATGGTATAAACAACTTAGCATGCCATCACAGAAGAGTTTTTCCAGTTTTTTAAAAAAACAATTCCATAGAAAATAAGCAAAACACAAGAATTAAGTTAGGGGAGGAAAGAGAGATCAAAATTACTGGTAAGCCAGGATGGTCTTCAAATCAACTTAGAGCGTCAGAATAAAACTTTTTGGGTTCAACTATTTCAATAAATTTGCAGAGAAATCTTATCAACACTAATAAAAATAGATGGGGCTATCCTAGCATTAATAGCTAATTGATCAAAAGATAAAGTAAAAGAAAGACAAAGATGGTCAAATAAATATGCACTGGAGGTAACATGTAATCACTTATCCACACAGAGGTTTATCCTCAGCAAACTTCTGAAGTGTGGCGGTTTCTTCCTGTGTCAGCCAATGGCTAACTGGGCCAGTTTCTAACTTCTCCCTGGGTACTTGATTAAAGAAATATCTATTGAACCTTAAACAGATGCTACTTGAATTATCCGGTGCTTCTTGTATTATATAACTTCTGTTAACATTACACAATAGTTTCACAGTTAAGGGTATTAAGGGGTTTTGATGGAAGGAGAAAGATGGGTGAAACAGACCCTAATTTTTCAAACGTGTTTCAATCTGAACTACAGTTAGTCAAGAAATTTCACGGTGAAAATGACTCTGCAAGGAGGTTTCCTGTTCAACTAGGATATAAAAGCGGTTAAATAGTAAATGTGCTACTAAACGTTTTGAGGGCTTCTGCTATCAAAATGAAGGCAAATATAGAATCCTAACCATGATGGAGGCTTTTAGCGTCCAAAAACCTTAACACATAGTTCCCTAGAAAAGCGTCAGTGGAAGCACAACATGCATGCAGTTCCCGCATGCCAGCAAGGTGACACCAGAAAAGCAATCCTTGGCCTTAGACAGCATCTGGACTAGAAACTCCTACCTTAACACCTGAGACTCACCTACCAGACCAGTTTTCTTTAAGACCCACTTTTATTATTAAAATACATCACTAGGGGTTTATGGAACATCACGATCAAAAAAATGTAAAGCTTTCCTGTTTGGAACCAAAATAACACAAGTCTGTCATTTCTCAGGGAATTGAGAACCTGTTCTTAAGTCCAAGAATGTCATGGAGGACAATCCCTGACTGCCTGAAGATTGGGGTTCTATACTGTTATGTTCACAGACCCTCAAAGTTGCAAAGTTGCTAAGGGATGTCACAGATTCTAAGGGACGGCTTCCAATAATGGGGCATTTTTATTTTTATTTTATTTTATTTTATTTGAGATGGAGTCTTGCTCTGTCGCCCAGGCTGGAGTGCAGTGGCATGATTTTGGCTCACTGCAACCTCTGCCTCCCGGGTTCAAGCGATTCTCCTGCCTCAGCTTCCCGAGTAGCTGGGATTACAAGCACATGCCACCACACTGACTAATTTTGTATTTTTAGTAGAGACAAGGTTTCTCCATGTTGGTCAGGCTGGTCCTGAACTCCTGACCTCAGGTGATCCACCCACCTCGGCCTCCTGAAGTGCTGGGATTACAGGTGTGAGCCACCATACCTGACCCTAATAAGACATGTTTAATAGTAAATAATAGTACTATCATTTGTATGGTGAAATGCTGTCATACCATCCAAAAATCAAATGAAGAATATTTTATTGGCATGGAAACCGATGTACCATATGTCATTAGGAGATGAAAGCAGTATAATACCCTTTTGGGGGAAAACATGTGTAGGCATAGAAAATATATGAGATTATGTATCAGTATTTGGTTATCTTTGAATAATATGATTGTTTTCTGAGTTTTATGCATTGTAAACACTTGTTGGGTTTTTTTGTTTGTGTTTTTGAGACACGATCTTGCTCTGTCGCCCAGGCTGGAGTATAGCAGTGCAAGCATGGCTCACTGCAGCCTCAATTTCTTGGATGCAAGTGATCCTCCTACTTCTGCCTCATGAAGAGCTGAGACTAAAAGCATGTAGCACAAGCCAGGCTAATTTTTTTATTTTTTGTAGAGACAGAGTCTTACTATGTTGCCCAGGCTGGTCTCAAACTCCTGGGCTCAAGTGATCCTCCTACTTCAGCCTCCCAAAGTGCTGGAGGATTACAGGCGTGTGCCACTGTGCCTGGCCTATTGGTTTGCTTTTTTAAACTTTTGTTAAAAAACTGCTTGTGAAAACTGATTCGGCCCTTTATTGCCCTCTGAGTGGTTGGACTGCCTCTCCAACACAAGGTGGTGTTCCCAGGAGATGCCCTGCAGCTCTCCCTGAAGTCAGGGAAGATTCACAGAGTCACTAAGATGAGTCTCCCCTCAACACAGTCCACTGTCACAGAAGTAAATAGCTACTCTACTGGGTGTCGTTTTAGCAGAAATCACTGCCTTACTGAAAGACTAAAGCCCCACCAGAGCATTTCCATTCCCGAAAAAAAGACAGTACCACACAGAAGCTGAGAACTCTGCCCCATGGCAGGTGGGCATGTGGCCGGCCTCCGGGAGAGGCAGAGATGTGTACGGCCTGGTCTATTCTACATAAACATAGAATAGATTCAGGGAGACAAGATGAAGTACGTGACACATCAGAGTGTAGAACCAGCTAGTGAACAATGAAGAATAAAATATATGACCAAATCCTAGGAGATACAGAATAGCATGCTTACAACAGAATAGCTTAAACAAAGCACTGGACCATTAGAGTCAAAAATAAATATTGTGCTTTTTTTTTTTCCCTAGCAAGGCTATTCAGCTGAATTCAGTTAAATGGACCAACATCCATAGAACTTCTACTATATGCTAAGTATTGTGCTCGATCCTGCTCTTATCAAAACACTACTTTGGAGTAGTGGCCACTTGTGTCATTAACTTTCCTATTCTACATGACCTACTTCATGGCCGTAAGAAGGATTCTTGGTTTTCAAAGGGTTGCAGTCGATTAACGGTGAGACAAAACATGTATTTAGCTGATTCAAAATGCATCATATGACATTTCCATCACCTTTACCTTCACAATTATACTGTGATAGGATAAATCAGCATTTCATTAGATGTCACAAGTATATACACTAAGAGGTTGTCAGGGCCAATCCATTCTGTCATGGTTTTCATTAATTCATCCATTCATTCAACAAATAATCACTGGGCATCTACTAGGTGCTAGGTACTGCTGAGTTACAGGTACTGATACAGAAGTAACGAAAAAGATCAGGTCCCAGCCCTACCAAGAGCATCCTTCTAAGCTGAAGTATAAAGTACTACAGGAGAAAACAACAAAAAAAGGAAAAACCCATCAGGATTGACTCTACAACCCACATTCCGAAAGCTGAAATTAGACTCTCCAGGAGTTCTGGGAATCATTCATTCCCCAAAGAGAAGCTCAAACAGTAGAAAAAAGAATTACACATTTTATAATGTAAAAGATCCAGATTTGAATTCATTTTTGCTAGCTCTATGGCCTTGGGCAAATTGTGATACTATTCTGATCTCATTTTCCTTATCTACAAAGTGGGCTAATAACACTTTGCTTCGAGGACTGCTGTGAAGATTAGGAGTTACGTTCTAGCACAATGGACAGGATGTCTGCCAGCCACACAACAGGGGCCCCAGAAATAACGGGTATTAAAAACATTAAGCCACAGCACTTAGATCAGGGCTAAAGAAATAAAACTCTCAATACATAAATGTTAGGCTTACAGACACTAAAGACTGTTAAATTTCATTATACAATTTCTGTTCTCTAAGGAGTGCTGGCTTGAAATTGATATTTAAAACTTTGGTGTTGCAGCCAGGTGTGGTGGCTCACGCCAGCAATCCCAGCACTTTGGGAGGCCAAGGCAAGAGGATAGCCTGAGGTCAGGAGTTCAAGACCAGTGTGGTCAACATGGTGAAACCCTGTCTCTACTAAAAAATACAAAAATATTAGCCAGGTGTGGTGGCATGCACCTGTAATCCCAGCTACCTGGGACTGAGTCAGGGCAACTACTTGAGCTAGGGAGGTGGAGTTTGTAGTGAGCTGAGATCACGCCACTGCACTCCAGCCTGGGCAACAAGAGCAAAACTCTATCTCAAAAAAAAGAAAAAAAAACAACTTTGGTGTTATATAC